ATAAAAAAGCTGTGACAAGTGTCTGTATTGATTGACACAGAATGTTGGTATTTAGATTTACATTAAATGAACACTTAAGGAACATTGTTTTGAAAGGTCTATTTTCATTTTTATGACTATAAATTGTATCCTTCTTGTGCAACAGAGATTGTAGCTCACAGTACACTGGAAGAGAAAGAAGGAGAGAGAGAAGGAATATCTGTTATTGAAGTGGATCATTGGTGAAAGGGTAGAGAGAACTCTTAGGTTTATATTGAGGCTAGTAAGGGGTTAAAGAATGTAGTGAATTGAATGCAAGTAGGACTGTCCTTCACATTGGTACAGGGTCTTTGATCTTTTGTTTTGCTTATACAAGTATGTACTTAAATAAAGGAAGTTAAGTAATTGACATGTGCTTAAGCTGGAATTATGTTCAAGGGTGGTACATACTACTTCTGGACCAAGTCTAATTGGTAGGGGTCAGGCAGTGCATTATGACCCTTGCTATTAACATTGGCTTTTTTTCTACCTACATTTATATACGTTGCAAATTAAGCAAAGCACAGCCAACTATTAAAGGATGAAAGATTTTTATTGATTTTGATGTCATTCTAGGTTCTTTTTTTTGTCCAAATTCATGAATTTACTTATGCTAAATCTAAAGAAAACACAATATAAAATTCACTATATTTATCTATAATGTTGAATGTTAAAATTCTTCAACATTTTAACAAGAAAAATCTCAAGTTGATGTTAAAAATTGCCATAGGACATTTATTTAAGACATTTTATTCATAATAATGACATGTCTCTAAGTTGCATTTAGATACATTGTATTTATTTTCAATTTTTCTCATTGAGTTGTTCATCTATATTACATATAATCTATTATTGTACATAATTAGGTTGCAATAACATTTTTATTTTATATAAATACTATCTTGTGACAATTGAGATGTAGCAGAAGAGAGGTCAATGTATCACAGAATTGAAGGGAGACATATAGCTGAGATGGTTCATGAGACCCTTGCACTAGCCATGTTAATGCTAATGAGGTGTTAAGATGATAATAAGTAAGTGATACCTTTCAGCAAATTTAGGCAATATTTTAATTTTATTTTATTTATTAAACTTAACCTACAAATCCTCCATACTACATTAGGTTTGCAGATGTCCTTCTGATTTCCAGTACTTTTGCAGGGTCTTGTAGAAAAGGGTTAAAATCAGGTGAGGATCAGTTTTCTTTAACTTTGAAGACAATGTGAGAAAAGCAGCCTTCTTCTTCTGTGGGGCATGTCCTTCCAGGATGTAGGCAGTCGTGGCTCTCCACAATTTCCTATCCTTTAGCGTTCTTAATAAATTTTTTCTTTTTGTTATTCCTCCTAAAACTTGTTCCACTATCCATTTACTCAAGCACATTAAATGTTGCTTTCCGCTGTCCCTCGTGCTTTCAATCTGTCCTGTGAGTATCAGATTTTCCAAGCCCTCATTCCTCATTATAAGCCCTAGAAATTTCAAATGTCTTTTGCTGATGTTAAGTATAAAATTGTTTCCATTTTCTCTAAAACTTTGTTGTTGTTCACATGTTTGGTCCATGGTATCCTCAGAATCCTTCTGTAGAAAACAGTAGTGAACTGAAATAAAAAGGTATTTCTGAAGTGTTTGACGCATAAAATTAATAGACTGTCTCAAAAATCAAGTCTTCCCTAGGTAACAACATATATATGTTGTAACCTACGGAAGGTTACTGAATAGAATAATTATACGAAGGTTGGTAATGAATGATAATATTTAGGACACGAACAACACGCATAACATTCGCTAGCAGTGTGTAGAAGAAGTAGTGAACTGTTAGAAGTGAGTCAAATGAATTCCACAATGAATCTCCAACTGTAGGATATCTACCAACTACCCCACATGGTTAGATGTGGCACAAGGCCAAATTGAATGTGGGATATCCAAGCCTGTAGGCTCGGCCAAAAATTCCCTGTAGACCCCCTATAAAATGGGGTCAGGTAGCTGTTTCCCAAGATGAGATTCTGCCCTTCAACTTAGCTTTGTCTGGGGATCCACTCTGCCCAGAGTCAGAGAGTTTGACCAGTACAGCTGGAGATGAATCTTCAACTGTAGACCAACATACAGTATTTACTACTGTATTTATGTAAATGATGGCATACTCATTATTCTCCATTATTCTACAACAATATGCATGCAACTTTTTTCTCTACAGAGAGAGTGGATTTTCCATATTACTTACAACTCTCATCAAGTCAAGTTGGGTGATGGAATTTAGTAAGTACTAGTTAAGGGTAGAATAACAATTTCTACTTAAATTCCCTAAATGTCACCAGTACCATTAATTCAAATGCTGTAACTTGGATAGTTCACAAAAAAAAAATATATATCTCTTCAAAACTTTATACAATATTTATTACTGTTAATTCAATAGAAAAAAATAAAGTCAACAATATTTGTAAATCTTTGTTGTTTACTTGTACCATTTTCGTCATGGAACAAAAATATTCTTCTTGGAATTCTATTTAGATTTTTGGATGTTAAAAGTTTACCAAGGAAATCCCAATCAGATAATTTATGATAATAATTGCTGAATAAATTAAGCTTGATGAAATTTCCTGAGAACAATCCTCACTACAAGATATGGTTGTCCATTGTTTTATTAACTAGCACTTGTTTCATATTAATTTTACTTAATTTACATTACTATTATTCTAACTACCAGTCTGTGTTAAGTGAAATTAAAATAAAAGATGTGATAAAAAAATTAATGATTGACAAGACTTCATCAAATAAATAAAATCAAGATAATATAATTAAGACATGATCCCGTTCCAAATTTTTTCAAGTAAGTAGATATTTTAAGTTAAAATTTACTCTCCTAAGTTTTATAAAAACCTCCAAACTGTATTAAAAGATTTCCAATTTGAGAAGAGCACTTCTATTTTGTAAATGAAAACAGATGTATGCATTCACAGTTTCTCAATGAAAACTACATGGCTGATGATATTTTGTTCATGTTGGAGATGAAATCTGTCAATCCACACAATTTGCATTGACTGTTTATTGGCAAATTTTCTCAATCTTCTTGGATTGAAATTTAAAAAAAAAATGAACATAAATCAAAATTGTATACAATATCTGAACAAAAAAAATTGAGAAATTATTTTTTCAAGTTATTTGTAAAAATAGCAAGGAAATATTTAAAAGAAAACTCAAAAAGGTAGAAACATTGTAAAGATAGAGATGAGTTTTCAAAACTATTTCTTTTTCAATTTTGTTTATGGAGGGAGTACGGCCAAAGCCTGACTAGTGATGCGTAGTAAATAAATGATGTAGAAGGAATGTTTGATGGATGGCAATTAATGTCGTTATTATCATTATCGTCATCTCCAGTGAATGAGCAGACATCACAGACCAACTTTGCTAGTGAAGAGGCATTTTTAATTCCCCCCAACCCTACCACTTTTCCTTTGTAGATGTTTTTTGGCTGCAAGGAATAACCCTTTTATTGACAGTAGGTGGTCAACTCACTGAAGTGAGCTTTTAGCAAAATCCTGTATCCATGACTAATAATAATTTTGTTGGAGAGGGAGCAAAATGAAAGCTCCCTTGATATGCTCACTCAGAAAGGTAGAGAAGGAGAGGATGAATAAAAAGGATATTAGAACTACTTTAATAATTTTTGTCTCTCTTTCTATCCTGTTTGATCCAATTCATAATCAATGTAGCAAAACTAATTGTCAATCCCAATATTCAATATTTTATGCCACTGTGCAACTTGCAAACAAAAATGAATCAAGTTAAACTCAAAAATAAGTAAATAATATGAACAAAAATTGAAATAGAGGCAAAAGAACAAGCTTTATAGAAATTTGTTTGTATCAAACAGTTATGGATGATTGATTGTGGAGCTCTCTTACTAAAAGAGATAGGATTTTTTTCCTTCTCATTATTTATTATTTATTCTCTTTTATTCTTATTCCTATTATTTTTCTTTTTTATTTTATCTCCCCTTATGGCATTCCTCTTCAACTGTATTCATAAATATGGCAATAATTTTGATAAGGAGTTTGAGAATAAATTCATTTTAAAAAAGATTTTTTTAATTGTATGTTTGAAATTTTTTATCTTTTTTATGCCTTATAAAAAGTAAAGAATGAAAAAAAGCTTCAACCATGTTTTTCAAGCAGCTTTCCAGGTTTTCCTTTTACAAAATCATTTCTTTCATCTATTTTTTTTTTGTCTTTGAGTGTTGTTTTTATTAATTTCTTTTATTTTCATTGGTTTTTTCTAGTTATTATTTACTCTTTTCTTGTTCCAGGATTCCTTTTCCACTATTTTTTCTTCTTAGGTTATTTTTAACATTTTCTTCCACTTCTTTTTTTTTTCTTGAATTTTGAAATCTCTATCACCTTTTCTTCCTTCTTTTTCTTCTTCTCTTAACATCTTTTCAGTCTTTTTTATTTTTCTTCTCTTTAGCTTTCTAGTTTTATCTGTACTTAATTTTTTTTATTCTTCAGTCACTTTTCATTTATTTCTCTTCATAACTGCCAACTTATAAATTCATATTTCGCCATTTTTGGGGTAATTTTTCTAGTCCCCCATTACCACTTTCAACTTATAATTTTTATGCTTAATATTTATTTTCAAACTTTTCTTTCTATTTAATGTTTTTATTGCTTTATAAATAATCATCATTTTCATCTTCATCATCATCATCATCATTTTTATTTTGACTTTATATTATTTCTATCATTATTTTCTATTATGACAATTACTAATATCACAATCATTTTATTTTCATTTTCATTTTATTTTTTTTATTAATATTATTCTGGTGAATTTATTAGTAAATTTTTTGTTTATTCATTTTTAATTCTTTATAGCTATTTATTACTAGATTTTGACTAGCATAACAATTATTATAAAATTTATCATTTTACCCTTCATTATTTTTTATTTTTTACTTTTTCCTTCTTTTCAATCTCAAACTCTTTCTCTAGTCTTTCTTTTATATTCTGTCAGTCCTTTCTTTCCCCACATTATTTCAACACATTTCTTTTCTTTCTCTATCTTTTTCATCACCTTCAACATTTCCTCTTCTCTTTTCTTATTCATCACATCTTCCTTTCCTCTTTCTTCTATTCTATCATTCTCTTTTCCTCTCTTATTGTATTTTACTATAATTCTTTCTCTGTTTTTTCTACCTTGTATTTCTTTCTTCTTTTTCCTTGCTATTCACTTTCTTATGTCTTTCTTCTTTATTACTTTTTTCTGCATTCATCTCTCTATTTTTCCTGTATATATTAATGATTTTCCTTATTTTCCAGATGAGGATTTGATAGAGAGATCCTGTGTGTATGCCATGGTGAGGAAGGCATTGATATAATCTTGTTGACAGCCAATACTGCATTCCTCTCTTGAGAGATTAATATACTGAAATTGCTACATCTTTCAGACTGCATGTTGGCTTCACAGAAGAATGAGAAAGCAAACTAGAGAGAGAATGACAAAGAGGAAATGAGAGAGAGAAAAAGAGAAAGACAAAAAGCAAATGAGAGAGAGAGAGAGGCAAAGTAAGAATGGAAGAGAGAGAAAGAGAGAAAGACAACAAGGAAATGGAAGCGGGAAGAAAGACAAAGAGGAAATGAAGGAGACAGAATAAGGCAAAGTGGGAATGGAAGAGAGAGAAGGAAAAACAAGCAGAAAGAGAGTGAGAAAGACAAAGAGGAAATGAGAGAGTATAAGGCAAAGTGGGGATGGAAGAGAGAAAGTGAGAGCAAAAAACAAGCAGAAAATGAAAGAGAGAGAGAGAGAGAAAAAAACAAAAGAAATAAAAAAGAGAAAGATAAAGGCCAAGTGGGTATGAAAGAAAGACAGAAAGACAAAAAGAAAACAGAAGTGAGAGAGAGAGAGAAAGACAAATAGGAAATGAAAGAAAGAGAAAGGCAAAGTGGGAATGGAAGAGAGAGAACTAGAAAGATAAAAAGGAAATAAAAGAGAGAGAGTAAGGCAAAGTGGGAATCAAAGAGAGAGAGAATGAAAAACAAGTAGGAAATGGAAGAGAGAGAGAGAGAAAAACTAAAAAACAAAGAGGAAATATAAGGTGGGGTGAGAAAGGCCAAGTCCGAATGGAAGAGAGATAGAAAAACAAAAAGAAAATGAAAGAGAGCGAGAAAGACAAAGAGGAAATGAAAGAGAGAGTGAGAGAGAAAAAGAGAGAGAAAAGCAAAGTGGGAATATAAGAGATAGAGAAAAACAAAGTGGAAATGGAAGAGAGAGAGAAAGACAAAAAGGAAACAGAAGAGATAGAGAAATTCAAAGAGGAAATGGAAGGGAGGAAGGAAGTGAGAGAGGAAGGGAGAGAGTGAGAGAAAAAAAGACAAAAACAAAGAAGAAGTGGGTGAAGAAGAGAAAGATGAAGCAAAAATAGAAAGGGCATTCAATAGAAAGAAACTGAAAATAAATTAGAAAGAGAAAATGTGAAAATGAATTTGTTTCAAATGAAAAGAAACCCCAGGAATAAAACGAAAGAGATAGAGAAGGAGGGAGAGAGAGGAAATTAAATATAGAAAGTGATTATGAATGGAGAGAGAGAGAGAGATAGAGAGAGGAGAAATGTATAGAAGAAAAAAACAATAAAATGGAAAAGATAATAAAAAAGCAGAGGAATAAAATGCAAAGTAAAAGTGACAGTTGATGATGCATTTTAACAAGCATCTTCACCTTTGTTGTTTTGATTACTTCATTTCAGCTGATCTGCTTTCTGAGCTTCATCAGGAAAATTTTTGAAATTACTGATTGTGAGGTGCAGTCAGAGAACAAAACAACAAATGTGAGGATACTAGTTCAGTTGACTTTTCATATAATAACAATACTTCATCTGGAGGAAAGCTAGAAAAGGCTCCACTTACACACAAATACCCTTGGGAAAGATATGAATCCATCTCTTCCCCTCAGCTATGGGTTAAACAGTAGGGCATGTATTCGGAAAAATCACTGTTATCTAAACAAAAAAAACAAACTGCTAATGCAATATTCACTCACAAAAGAAAAATGAATTATTCTTACAATCCAAAATATTTCAGCTTTAAATGACCCACCAGGTGTTGATAAGTTATAAAAAACAAATCAATGAATCAAGAAAAGCTAATAGGAGAAAGAAAAAAGCAAATAGAAGATTCAAAAGGAAAGAAAAAAGAATAATAGATCAAATGAATGGTAAACCGAAAGAACCAAGGAATAAGAAAAGACACGGAATTAGTTGGCATGGTGCCGAGATGCTGTAATGTAATTTTATATTGCATCTAACAACTTCTAATACATATTTTTGATATTATGAAAAGTGTTACAAAAGTTCTTTGCATATAAGTCTCTGTTGTTTGTTGTTTTGGAATAATAAACAGTTTTCTTCAAAAGTCATGACAGCTGAAACTCTTTGCATCAGTATACAATACATTTTTATAATCATTTCACTCCAAGCAAGGCAACAAAGCCACTAACATGCAGGGATTACTGAGTGTGAAAGAATATAAGAAAAACATTATTAAGGAGAGAGAACAATAAAAGAACAAAATTTAAGGGGACAGAAAATAACGATTGACATTGCCTCTAAATTTTTGAAAATCAAACTTGAACTGGAAAGCAAGAAGCTTTAAGAGAGTTCCACAAGGGAGAAGTGCGAGGAAAGAAACTGTTAGCATAGAACTTATGGTCACATCTAGCTAGTTCAACAATAAAATGATGAAATCTTGTTGCCTATTTAGTATTGCTTTTAAATTCATAAAGTCTAAGTACCATAGAGGAAAGTTCATCAGAACAATTGCCATGAAAATATTTATAAAAAAGGTACAGGGAAGCTTTATTATGGTTGTGGGAAAGTGACTGAAGTCAAGATGCATGCATGTATGTATAGCTGGCCACTTGTATTCGAGGACACCCATTTACTAGGGCAGCTAGCTAATCCCTATTGCAGATGCTTGCTCAGGCACATTTGCATTTATTCAACACACACAGAGCCCACCTGTGGTTTATGCTGCAGCTATGCTGAGCAGACCTTAGTTATAGGTTCTAGGAAAGAGCGTGTTATCTAACATGATCAACAATTTGAACAAGGCTAACACCCTCAGCCCTCATCTTAGTGCAGCTATTGATGACCCCGACCCCCTCCAAGGGTTTCATCTACCCAATTTCACTCACAAGGTGTGGGTCAACCTGCAGTATGGTTTTCAGGCACTTTTCAGTTTCCACATGCTGAGATCAACCCATCTACTAGGGCAGCTAGCCAATCCCTATTGCAGACGCTTGCTCAGGCACATTTGCATTTATTCAACACCCACAGAGCCAACCTGTGGTTTATACTGCAACTATGCTGAGCAGACCTTAGTTACAGTTTCTAGGAAAGAGCATGTTATCTAGTGTGATCAACAATTTGAACAAGGCCAACATCCTCAGCCCTCATCTTATTGCAGCTATTGATGATCCCACTAAGGGTTTCATCTACCCAATTTCACTCACAAGACGTGGATCAACCCGTAATATGGTTTTCAGGCACTTTCCAAAGTTTCCACATGCTGAGATCGACCCCTCCAGTCTGATAACATCAGTTTCCCTCCTGACAAAGTGACCATGGTGAGATTCGAAGTTGGATCTCATGGTCAGAATGCGAACATTCTAACCACTCGGCCACGTGCCCATAAAATACATGTAAACTTGCAACAAATGCCGTAAAAGAGCCAACAGAACATGCAAAATTTGAAGACTATTGACGTTTCCCTAAAACATAAAAGAAAACATAAAACAAAGAAATGAAACTTAATTTATTTCAAAATACCATAACTATCCACTGCTTATTGAATGTTCTTTGCAAGATGTCTAACAGTGTAAAAAAAAAAATCAGCTCTCTGTAATCTAATGAAAGTAACTTGTTGAGAAAGTTCATGATTAAAAAAAAAAAACTCTATTTTCTTATTATACCCTGAAAAATAATTATTTTGCATAATTTTCACTTTTGGATCAAATTTTAAATAACTTTTCCATTTCTTAGGGCGAGCAAAGTGCAAACTGAATTTGAAACATTCATTTAAAAGTGCCACCATATGTACGTTAAACTAATCATAGTTCTTAGGGTTTTAATTTGTATACAAACCAAAGGGTATTATTTTATTTGCAGACAAACAAAAGCACTGGAATTGTTCTCATATACCTACTTATGGTTATAACATGAGCAATTGAAGAAAACCAAGCTTGCTACAAAGCTATGTCATCAAAATGACCAGAATCACTACCTTCATCTTTGACAGTTCACTTTTCAATGATCAACCAAGAAACGTTCCTACATAGCAAAGACATGGAAAAGATGCCAATATAAGCCACAAGCTTTGATCTGTCACTAAAATTTTAGCTCATGATTGAAACAATTTAAAAAATTTAAAAACCTACTCACAACCCTATTCCTTATGGCTGATAACTTTGGTCTTTAAGAAGTACACAACTGCACAATCTATTATTCAAACTAATCTTTTTCTCAATAAAATTGATATTCATCAACGAATATTGGTAAAATTTTCAGGATATACTTTTATTTATATGATAGTTTTTTTTAACTAGGTTACCTGAGCTTTTAATGTGAGAGGTTAGAGTTTTTATTATGGCTTTTGGTAGTTTATAGGCGGAGCTGTCTATTTCACAACTTTGACATAAAAAATTCTACCATGATCAAAGGAGAAAATAATTCACTATGATGTAAAGGTCTAGAGAGTGCCTTAATCACAAGGTCATCGACAGTAAATTTGCACTCTGGCTCTTACAACATTTCACGATTCCTGGCAGATCTTCTATCTCAGTGTGGAATACCTACTTAAAATATGATGAATTGCAAAAGAAAAGGACTCTAGAGGAATTCGGCAGATAAAAAAAATTCTAAAATTTCCAACACCCCTCTGCTGTATGCATCTGTAGTTTTACCAACATAACAAATTTAGTCCAATGAAGTCATGAAGGATGAAATGCATCACAAGTAAATTTTTTTCACTTTGTCATACAATATCCCCAATACTCTTCTCTCTCTATATATATAAATATATGTATTGTTATCTCATATATATATATATATATATATATATATATATATATATATGCACACTTCACACAAAAAGTTTGGGTACATACGGCATTTCTTTAAAATACACCTGAAAATGAAATATTAAATAATGGTTTCAGTAACTACAGTGTATTTGCTTTTATTTTGACAAAAATAAGTGCTTAACTTTAAAAAAAAAAATCATACAACAACATCATATTTTGTTTTCACCAATAAAATCACCACCTTCCTTTACTGCTTTACAAATTCTTGGCATTCTTTCCAACAGGTTTTGAAAAAAACATAGATGACAAACCTTCCTAAGCATTCTTCAAGCAATGAAAAAGCTCACACTCACTTTTTGGATATTCTCTTCAAACTTTCCTACCCAATTCATCCCATACTAGTTCAATGAAACTGGGGCCAGGATAATGAAGCAACCAAGACATAATTTCCAAAATATTGTTCCAATTTTTTCTCAAGGTAATTTTGATATAATTTAGAAGAGTATTTTGGATTGTTATCATGTTAAAAGGTGATTTTTTTCCAATTACACATTAACCAGATAGTATAGCATGTCTTTTCAAAATTAAATGATATTGTTCTTTTTTTATCATTTACTTGACTGAAAACAAATCTCCAGACATCTCTTCTCCAAAATTAATCCAAATTTCAAATTTTTGGTAGTAAGGGGAGCCTTGAGAAAAACTGAAAAATAAAAGCAAATACACTGTAGTTACTGAAATTTTATCTTTTTTAAAAAAAAGTAAAAAATATCTCATTTTAAGGTATTTTTTAAAGAAATGCAAGATGGCCCCAAATTTTGCCTGTAGTGTATCTATCTATCTATCTATCTATCTATCTATCTATCTATATATATATATATATATGTATGTATGAAATGGAATCAAATACAGATCAAATATGGATTGGAATCCAACTGAATGATAGGATAAAAACAAATAAGAAACTTTATAAATCTAACATGTGTTGCTTTTATTAAAGCTTCTCAGAGAATGATGTATGCCAAAAAAGATATTCTGGTATTTTTATTTTTGTGTTGTTTAATTTTAATTTCTTAAGTCAAATGCCTACTGTATCCTATCATATATATATATATATATATATATATATATATATATGTATATATAGCCATCCGAAGATAGAAAATTTGATAATTGTGAGCCAGACAGAGGACTGCCTAACTCTGATGAACTTCTACTGACTCATTTTGACTACTTTATTTAAGGGGTTTTGCTTAGTTAATTTGTACTAACAGGGGTTTATATATATATATATATTGTCTCACATTATTAGCCTCATTGTATTTTAGTTGGAATATAAAATAAATGCTGAAAGCAAAAGAATTATTTGCTGAATCCTGGCAATGTCTATCTCTTTGCTGAGGATGAAAGATGGTTCATAAATAGACGTAAATGAGTTGCAACCATTTGAAATGACATGTATTTTTGATATTTTAAATGTAAGCTTAAAGCTTTACAACTGGTTATAAGTTTGATTTTACAAACAAAAAGAAATGTTTAATAATTTCAGAGTGGCAAAAGTTGAAAAAATGTTTGGAAATTGTGAAAATGACCAGCTGGTACGAACAAACTGTAAAAAAGTGTGTGCATTTCAGACAACTCCATCTTAAGTCTGATGAGAGCAGTTTTTGGTGACATTATCTCTCCCATTTGTGTCTTGTATCAAATGAAAAGTTATTGAAAAAAATCTGTCAAGCTATGAAATTTTTAGCTGTTATGTCATCAAGTTAGTGCAAAAAGAATAAAACATCAAATCAAGTGGTAAAATAGGTAAGATTAATTACTAGGCCTCCTTGAAAAGAAATCCAAGAAAATCCTTGAAAAGAAAAATTGACTGAAATTAGCAAAATAATACATGAAGGTGGAAGTAGTGGGATGTTTTGGGTTTAATTATATGTGGTAAAATAATAAGCCTATAGTAAATTCCAGATGGTGTTATGACAAGAGCTCAGCTAGATGATGATTTTCTTTTTGAAAGCATCCATGGAGTTAGGGTTCAAAAAGAAAATACAAATTTTCAGAAAGATGTTTGCTTTGTTAGTCTCATCAAATTCATTAAAAAACTAATGAATATCAGAATAAAAATGGCTACAAATACAGTGCCCAGTTTATTTTCCAGACCTTAAACCAATTGGAATCATATAGAGCATTCTGAATAGGTAGTGCTACATTCGCAGATGGAAATTTACCTACAAAGATGAATAATATAATTCTATTCTGGATGCAACACACTCTGTTTCAAATGAAGAAATACATAATGGATGAATGACAACTATAACTAATTTCAGAACATGGTACATTAATGATGTCTTTATAACTTTTCACATTAATGATGTCATCATTACAGTGAGAGTTTTACAATTTTTGTTCACATCATTCCTACTGCACGCTTTCTGGAATTATAACTTTTAATTATTATGTTTCTTGAATTTTCTGAAATCAGGCTAATAATGTGAAATTTCGAAAATCTGTTAAAATTTGTAAAACTGTTACCACACTGTAAGAATATGTAGTCACTTTCCCACCTCTGTGATATGTCTTTCCTCTAACTTTTCCATAAATATTTTTGTTGTAGCATACCTACGAACAATAATGGGTATGTCCCCATTCACATAAATACAGTAGTAAATACTGTATGTTGGACTGCAGTCAGAGATTTGTCTCCTGCTGTGCTAGTCAAACTTTCTGCCTCTGAGCAGACAGCATCCCCAGACAAGACTATTTCGAAGAGCAGAGTATTGTCTTGGGAAACAGCTACCCGACTCTGTTTTATATAGGGTCTATGGGGAATTTTTGGCTGAGCCTATTGGTTCGGGTTTCCCCACATTAAATTCGGCCTTGTGCCACATCTGACCACGTAGGGTGGTTGGTAGTTATCCTGCATGTAGGAGATTCATTGTGGAATTCACTTGACTCACTTCTAGCAATTGACTACTTCTTCTACATGCCACTGGTGAATCTTATAGGTGTTGTTCTTGTCCTAAGTAGTTTATTACCAACCTTTGTGCAATTATTCTATTCAATAACATTCCCTAGGTTACAACAATTTTCTTGGCAATTATTCTAATGACCTTGATCCCTTCCAAAGCATGAATTTAAGCATACTATTGGATTAGCGTTTAAGTTTCATCTTTTTGTTGTAGAAATAGCTATATGTAACTGTAAATTCTATCCTAATAGTTTCTTTTCTCACACTTCTTTACCTCTGGAACTCTCTTTTAGTTTATTTCTTCTCTTACCACCTACAATCTTTACATATTTAGATGCAACATGAATTGCCATCTTCTGTCTTCTTAAATCCTGTCCAGTTATTTTCCTTTCTCCTCACGAAGGTCTTTGCATCTCTTTCACTTTCAGTAACCCCTGGCATCTTAGTGACATTATCAAATTGCTTGGGGTAAAATGATTAAAAATGTTGTCTACTTTATTTTATACATATGTGAAATATACTGCACATTAACAGTGCAAATATTTTCGTATATCTCTCCATCATTTTCATTTAATTAGAAAAATTGAAAGTAAAGTGAGTTTGTGTATGAGCATGTGTGCATATATATATATATATATATATATATATATATATATATAGTTTATGAAAAACTAGGTAATCCGTATGGGTAATTTATTTAAAATATATATATATATATATTTAAGTTACAAAAACTTGGTAATCCGTATGGGTAGTCCCAAGGAGGATGAAATCCAGAGAGTTCAATGTAAATTCAGAGCTAATAATTTAAAGAAAAACAGAAGTGATGTCTGATGATCAAGGGTACTTTAAAAGGTCTCTGGTGAAATAAACTATTGCAATGTCGCCTTAAAAAAGTGGTTTGTTTTTCTTTAATATATATATATTTATAAGAAAAAAACACATGCCTGATGATGGATGGTAGACCGTCCGTAAGTACTAGCATTTTAACATCGAATAAACTGAAAAACTACAGACAACAAGTTTTTCTTCAAGGATAAAAACTCGCACTATGGATGAACAGGATTTTAATGCATATATTATGTTTTCTAGTGACGGATGTCGCCAATAATCGCATTGATACTTATTAATTCTATGTGTGATTAATTCTTGTATGTAAATCATATGCTGCCTAATGTTTTATGTTTATTAAAAAACTATCGATCCGCAGTACATAAAAATTCCTATAAAAAAAATTACTATTATGACACTACACTATATTATTGAACTATATACTTAGTTCATGACATAAAAACTGAATACACTTGTAAAAATAGAATACGTGGATTTAACACATCACAAGAAATATTTAAATAAAATTCTCACTTAAAATTTTGAAAAACTTAGCGTTGCGTCCTTGCACATTCCGAGATCTTACAACTGTCAATAATAGCAGATATTCAAAAAACATCTTTTGGTCGACATACAGATATATCGTCTCAAGTTTTTGATTTTATGAGAAAAAAACACATGCCTGATGATGGATGGTAGACCGTCCGTAAGTACTAGCATTTTAACATCGAATAAACTGAAAAACTACAGACAACAAGTTTTTCTTCAAGGATCAAAACTCGCACTATGGATGAACAGGATTTTAATGCATATATTATGTTTTCTAGTGACGGATGTCGCCAATAATCGCATTGATACTTCTTATTAATTCTATGTGTGATTAATTCTTGTATATATATATATTTATTTATTAAAGACATTTTTTTATTTATGTTTAACGTTGTTATTTTATAGATACAAGTATTTAAGCAAATGCTCTATTTAAGATAAACAGTATTAAATAACATTTACCGGCCTGAATGTCGAGAAATTTTCATAGAAAATATTCGTTCATAGACAGGATTCGAACCTGCATCCTATACGGAACTGTCATATACGCTGACATGCCTTAACCACTCATACCATATGAACCTTATGGTAGACAAGGTCAATTTACTGTTATAAACTACAATCTTCCATGAATCTCGTACATTCATAACTGCTCTGGCGTATCGAATGTAAACAAATGACGTCATATGTTAAAAATGGACAAGGTCCGACAATTTATTTATTAAAGACATTTTATTTATGTTTAACGTTGTTATTTTATAGATACAAGTATTTAAGCAAATGCTTAATCTGTTTAAATAAACAGTATTAAATAACATTTAAGATTTGGAAGATTGTAGTTTAAACAGTACCTTGTCTTAAAGTGGTTAACATTTAAGAGTTCCGTATGGAAGAAATCCTGTCTATGAAAATATTTTTATGTCGACATTAACGGTAAATTTTCTGTTTATCTTAAACAGAGCATTTGCTTAAATACTTGTATCTATAAAATAACAACGTTAAACATAAATAAAATGTCTTTAATAAATAAATTGTCGGACCTTGTCCATTTCTTAACATATATATATATATAATAATATGATAAAAGAAATTTAAGGTATGCTATATTTATGAGTTAAAGTGATCAATGTAAGGGATAGAGTGTATGTATGTTACAATTACATTCAACATGAAACAGACTGTCTCCTCTGTGTGTTGACTTCAATATATATATTTTTATCACTTTAAACATTATTTTTAGTGGATATTAACATTGGAGTAGGTGCTCCATTTATTTAGTAAACAAATATACTCAATTACTGATTTGAATATTTGAGAAAGTTTATTAAAGAAAAATTTACACTTTCCAGCAAGAATCAAACATGTGTCCCTCAGGGCAGAGAAAGCTACTGTTTAACCCAGCCAAATTTTGTGCTTTCAAGAAAAATTTCTCATATCATAGATCTCTCAAAGTTTACACAGCAACATATTCTAACATACAGAGAATTTGTTGAATGGATTTTTTATTAATCTGACAGATTTTTTCATCACTTTATATGTTATTTTTA